TTAATTGGGCAACAATCTTTTGTATTCTTCCTTGGAAGCATGCTCCATTGAGTAAAGTAAGACTTACTCCCTAGTCAAAATCTATAGAATTGGCTCAATGAAGTCTATAGAATTGCTTACTTATTCCAAGTAAAATAAATGATACTTGTTTCCAAAATAAACTTGTTTTGGATGAGGAGGCTGCAAATTGTTTGCAATTGTGTGACACACGCTCATTCTAAATTAATTGGGATAATTGCATATATTACTTTGGAGTCAACTATGACATATATCAGTTGAAGACAATTTATTTTGCAGTTTATGTGAGCAAGAGAAATCCACTGCCATTTCTGGCTTCTTGACGCTCATATCTCAATTAAGAAAGAGACATGCAGTCAACCCAAAGCAAACTACACAGAGAATTATTTTTGTTGGATTTGGTTCATTAAAGCAACATCAAGCAGCAAGCTGTAGGTGGTGCTGTGCTGGCACAGCTTATATTTTACAGAAATTCTGAATTATCACGAATTAGGACCTGCATTAGGCTGTGTGAGGCAAATGACCTTAATTTCATAAAAGGCAGCAAACTTACCAGTTAGTTAATTTTTTTACAGTATTTCTACTCTCAGACAGAAGTAGTTATGAAATTTTCTGATTCAGATAAAAAAATATGGCTGGCCTTCAGTACTGTAATGTATTAAACTTTCTGGCTTGCCATACTGAGAAGTGTCTTTAGCCTGTACTAAAGCTCTGAGCTTTCCGTTTTCATATCTACATTACCAGCAACACTTGGTTTTCTTTTACATGCTCCATCTGTATGTCCTTTATGGTAATTAATAGATATTATGTGTTTTGGCTTGGCAAAATGAGACCATTTCCTTTGCTGTTTCAAATATCACCATCCGTTATACCACTTCAAAGCAGTGCTTTTTCAGACCACACATTTACAGTCATGTTGGTCCACAGGAAAAGAAATGTATTCAAATTTAGAGATGAGTGATACTTTTATCAAGATCACAAAAAGGATGTGCAAGCTATGGAGCTTCCAGAATTCTTCATCAGGCAAGACATTCCCAAAAAAAAAGAATAAAGAAGGAAGAAATTGGAGCAGATTTTTAGGCAAGAAGTTCAAAGTCATTGCCAAGATGATTGTTGTGAACTGAATGCAGAGTATGAGATTGTTGGTATATGATTATACCCAGTCCTCAAGAACAAAGGATATCCCTCCCCCAGCTTTGAAGTCACAGAATCAGTTCACACAGAATTATGAATCATCAAGTCTTAGACAATCCAGAGTGAAAAGTGAAGCAATCTGCATGCTTCTGAGAACTACAGAAGTTCGTTCTTTGTGGGAAATTTGGCATTTGAAAGCAGATCTTAATCTGGGTTTAGAATCAAGGCCCGGGTAGATCGTCATGGAGAAAATCTATCTATGTGGTCACTAGGAGTTGAAAACAACTTGATGGCAACTTGATGGCACATAATTAATCAAATCTTCTGCAGGATAAATTTGAAGATGCAAGAAGCAATTTTCCAATTGCCAAATTCCTCACTATTCCTTGTAGAAACTGATTCCTACTTTTTATTAACTCCACATATACAAAACTCTAAATTAATTTATCATCTTTGGTGGACTTGTAAAAATGCAAAAAAAATTGGAATGAGGTACATATTTGTATACAGAAGATTCTAAAGATTAGCATATAATCAGAACCAGAGACTTTTCTTTTAGGTTTGATGGACAAACAGCTGGAAAAAAACTTATGGAACTTTGTTCTTATATATGACAACAGCAGCAAGACTTTTATATGCACAGAGATGGAAGGACAAGACATTACCCATGGTGGAAGAATGGATGGCGAAGTTGATGGAGTTAGCTGAGATGGCAAAATTGATGGCTTTGATTCGAGATAAGACACTGTGTAATTTTAATAATACTTGGAAACCTTTTTTGGACTTTTTGCGAGATATGGAAAAAAAATGAAATGTTGTATGGATTTGATGATTAGAAATAATATGGGTTAACAGAAATAATGGAAGTTATGTTTTAAACTTAGAGTAAGATTTGGATGTACTGTATATTGTTACTTATATCTGTTGTGAGGAGGGTCAGAAGTCAATTCTTTTTATTTCTTTCTGATTTTTTTTTCTCTCACACTTTCTAATCTTTCATACTTCTTATTTCTGAAATTTCTTTTTTTCTATAGTCTTCTTTTAATACTAGTTTTCATTAGTTTTTTTACTGTTCTTTTTACATTTTTTAATAAAGTTATTATTTTTAAAAAAAACCTCTAAATTAAAACCCTTTTTTGTTGTCTTAATGTGATACATAAAGACATTCCTTCAGATATTTGGATGGCTTCCTTTCTCTGATCTTCAGAAATGTGGTGATGACTTGGCTATTTTGTTATAGGTAGTCCTCAACTTACAATGGCAATTGGGACTGGAATTACCATCGCTAAGCGATGCGATTGTAAAGCGCAGCCACATTGCTTAGGGATGACAATCCCTGCAGTCCCAGTTGCTGTCATTAAGTCAATCCCACAGTCGTTAGGCAAGGCAACTTCCTGCCAGCTTCCCACACCAAAGTTAGTGGGGAAGCTGGCAGGAAATTGCAGATCCCAGGCCCGCAGGCATGTAAGTGGTGGGGGAGGAAATGAGAAGGGTGGGTGGGGGTGTGGGGGAGGATCAAGGACGGTGCGTGAGAGGTGTTGTGCAGGTTGGGGAGGGTGCGTGAGGTGCACGAGAGGTGCCGTGCAGTTCGGGAGGGTGCATGGGGATGCACAAGAGGAACTGCATGGGTCAGGATGCGCGAGGGTGCAAGGGTGTGTGTGAGAAGTGCCATGCAGGTCAGGGAGGGTGCGCAAAGGTGCACAAGAGGCACCACATGGGTCAGGGAGGGTGCAAGGGAGTGCTCAAAAGGCACTGCATGGGTCAGGGAGGGGTATGGGGGTACACGAGAGCCGCCACGTGGGTTGGGGAGGGGGTGCACGAGAGGGACCGCATGTGTTGGGGAGAGTGCAAGGGTGTGCACATGAGGCCCCACACAAGTCAGGGAGGGTGCAAGGGGTTGTGTAAGAGGGGCTGCATAGGTCAGGAAGGGTGCCTGGGGTGTAGCATGGGTTGGGGAGGGTGCCTGGGGGTGCACAACTGGCTGTGTGGCTCAGGTAGGGTGCACAGGGGTGTGGTGTGGGTTGGAGAGGGTGCGTGGGGATGCACGACTGGCCTGCATGGCATGAGTGCAGTGGGGCTGGGGGAGGGTGTCCAGGTGTGGGAGACCCCAGCAACATGTGATCTTCCCTGCCAGCTTCCCCTCTGACTTTCTGGGGAAGCTGGCATGGAAGGTTGCAAATGGTGATCATGTGATCGTGAGGCATTTGGCAACTGGTCATGTGAATGGGTTGCCAAGCACCCAGATCACAATCACGTGATCATGGGGGTTCTGGGACAGCCACAACTTCGAGGACCAGTCGTAAGTCTCCTTTTTCAGCACTGTCGCTGAACAAATGGTCATAAGTTGAGGACTACCCATATATTGTTTTTCCTCCACTTTTAAGAATAATTTTCCACCCAGAATCATGCATTTTCCATATAAATTCAATAAATACATACATACATACATACATACATATTTTACCAAGCCTCAGGGACAGGGCTGTTATGACTGTCCCTCTGGATGAGCAACTTTTAAAATGGTGTTTTTGGAATTCTGCTGCACATAATTCTTTATACTGTATGTACTTGGTTTTAATTTTTGCCTGATATGTATTTGTTTTGATCCAAATTAGGGATATGGGAGTTTTATGCCACTCAGAGTCCAGGTGACTGGAGAAGCCCATAAGCCTTGTAAATAAGATAATCAGTACCAATGTTCTTTCTGAATCCTCTCCATTGGTTTTGTGTGAGCTGAGAAAATAAAAAGCTGGAGTTTTTTTTTTAATGTAATTGTCAGGAAAAGCCTAGAAAATGCTGAATAACCTGAGAGGATGGGGGGATGGAATGGAGTACTCTAAATAGGAATCTTCCAGACAACAGCACATTTCACTGTGGACTTTACTTGGCAATAGCTCTAGGCAGACTAATAAATAACTAATAACTGTTCTAATAAACAGTTCTGATTTTTAAGTCTTTTTCCCCCCAGATATAAAACTGGATGCTTTGCATTGTTTAAAAAAAAAAAAAAGCAAAGTGCAGCTTTTTCTGTTTTGGTTTCTGTGAAAAGTTAGGTGGAATTGTATTAGTTTCTATGAAGCAGAACTGAGCTGTTCCCACACAATTCATAAATCATGGTTAAATAAGAGTATTCTCCTTTCTTAAAATGCACAGATTTACACATGGGTAGGACCATTAATAATGAGTAAGCATATCTATGCCTGTGTTGGATTGCAGTCAGAGAAGGTATCTTTATCAATGTGCCAGACAAGAGCCCCTTTTGAGAAATAAATAGGTTAAAAGATGTGAGGCTGAACTTGGTACTAGACCAAGTTTTATGAGTGACAATATAGATTTTTGAATAATATAGTAGATGGGGGACACTGAGAGAAGGCAGGGGGACAACTTTTGAACTTTTTTCAATCCTGGAATACTAATGTTATCTGCTGCGCATCAGAGCATTTGACAAACTTTCTTTACCTTGGCAAACAAATAAGGCTTTCAAGTTTTATTATTGCACAAGAAGATCCTCTGGATTAGAGGATTCAGAGAAAGAGGTTATAATTGTAAGCTAATTTTGATAAAACTCTGTATTATCCTACAGTATGCATTGTTGCTTTATTTTTAGTATGTGAGAAAAAATATTGGACGAGCATAGCTCTATACATTTTTAAAAAAAAAACCTCTGCTGTGGGCACAAATATGAGATCTCCTGAGCAAAAATGGAACTTAAAAACCAAGAATGTTGGGGTGGGGGTGGGGAATAGGGGAGCTAATAGTCTCCTCCCTAGATGGCTTCCTTTTTTTTTCTGCCCACAAGAGTTTCCGTTCCCTGTGAGAACTACATTAAATCAGAAGCCTCAGACTTACAAAGAAGAAGCAGAACCTCAACGTACATTTCTTGAATTGTACCATTCAGCATGGCTTCCTGAAAATTTCAAACAAGATCAGTCTGCAAAAAAGGTGAGAGATACAGTAGTCAATTTAATATTGGTCCAAAAAGGAAGGAAAACTATCCCCTCCTGACCAGTTATGGTATCAGTTGTTATTCTTGCCTTGATTGGAATTATGACTTTTAAAAAGTTCTATCAGTCATACATAACTGAGGATTCAGAGTCCACCATCAGAGCTTTGCGTTGTTAAGAGGTCTTGCTACCAGCTGTAAAACAATGCGCTCTAACGCAAGGGGCTGATTGAGCCTTTTTCTGAGCCAGGCCTTTACAAGCAGGCAGATTGTCTTTGATCAGTCTCTCTAAAGCAGGGGTGAGTAATTTTTTCATGGTCACAGATTACAGACTACAGTTAGTGGGGCTGTGATCCATGTGGCATGGCCAGGATGGTCTGGTTTGGAGGCAGTTTTTCATTGGTTTGGTTTGGTTTCTTCTTCTAAAAAATAAGGTTGTTACACCTGTTTTAAACCTGCATGACAGTTCTCATGTGTTACCCACTGACAAAAGCAGGAAATGGAAGGAGCACCAAGCAAAATTTGGATGCTCTAGAAAAAAGTAAGCAGGGTCTAACCTGATTGGACACCACCAGGAACCAAGAACCCAGAGGAAAGCGATACCAAGCAACTTCAATGCTGCTATAAAACACATGGCTGTGTCTATGAAGGCCCAGGAAGTGAGCTGTACTAGTGGATCACAAACTCAACATGTCCAAACAGTGTAATGCAGCTGCAAAGAAGACCAACAACATCTTGAAGAACATCAAGAGGGCCATAGAATCCAGATCATGGAAAGTTCTTATCCCGCTCTACTCTGCCTTGGTCAGACCTCACTTGGAGTATTGTGTTCATTTCTGCACACCCCAGTTTAAAAAGGACATTGATAACTTGGAGCAAGTCCAGAAAAGGACTACCATGTTGATAAAAGGACTGGAAACCAAATTCTATGAGGGACAGTTAAAAGTCCTAAGTATGTTTAGCTTGCAGAAAAGAAGTTTGAGAGGGGACATGATAGCTGTCTTTTAATACCTGAAGGGCTGTCACAGTGTAGAGGATCTGGACTTATTCTCACTTGCTCCAGAGGGCAAGACTAGAATTAATGCGATGAAACTTCAAGGATGTAGATACAGATTAGACATTAGGAAGAACTTCTTCACAGTAAGAGCTGTCAATCAGAGGAATAGGCTACCATATGGAATGGTTTCTACCCTTTCACTGGAGGTTTTCAAACAGAAACTGGATAGTCATCTATCAAAGATCGTGTACTGAATCCTGCAGTGGGCGGGGGTTGGACTTGATTACCTCTTAGGTCCCTTCCAATTCAATGATTTATAAGTGGAAGGGAAGCAGAAAAACTAAACTATGCTTATATTAAGTGGAACTACCATATATATATCGGTGTATAACACGCACTTTTTTCCCTAAAATTTGGGGCTGAAATCCTAGCTGCGTGTTATACACTGATGTGCCCTGCGGCTTCTCACTTCAAGCAGCAGGGCTGGGAGAGCAAAGCGCCAGCAGCCAGGAGAGCATTTCTTTTTTGGCAGCCACTGCAACCCAGTGCTGTCGCTCCAGATGGCCGCAGAGGGAGGTGTGGAGCCCGCGGCGCAGTGCGCAATGCCCCCCTGGCCACCCGCCGAGAGCTGCGCCCGACCCCTCTCAGATCGCCCCAGGACCAGCGAGCAGGGAAGATGCAGCCTCTCCTCCAGCTCCCCATGGCCTCGCCTGCTCCTCCCTCCTTCCTATAGGGAGAAAATTTGGCGCTGAGGGGAGGCCCTCTCCCCTGAGGGCTCGACCGTGCCATTGGGAGCACGGGAGAGTCTGGGGACTGTGTCAGACCAAAGCACAAAGAGCAGATCTGCAGGGCTCCTCAGTTTGCTAAAACGGGGCAGGCAGGGAGCGTGCGCCACCCATTCCCCTGGCCTCCCACTTTGCAAACCAGCCGCTGTCCAGAGCGAGCTGGGCCTGGAGAAGGAAGAGTTAAGCGTGTGTGTGTGTGTGTCACCGACAGCAGAGGAGACAAGGGCTTTGAACAGGAAAGCCAGATGCTCCCGCCAGAGGGGGGCGCCTCAGCTGTCCCAAGCGCACTACGCCTAGAAGAGGAAGAGTTAAGCACCGATGTGTGTGTGCGCATCTGTGTGTTTGTGTGGTTTTTATTGTTCCCCTACCGCCCAGTGATTTTGAGAGACTCGCTGAGAGCAGAGGAGACAGGGCTTTGAACATGAAAGCAAGGAGCTCCCAGGCAAAGCAGGGCGCCTCCTGCCACACTAAGCCTCTGACCCTATGGATCTGCTCTTTGCAGTTTGCTCTGACACACTGAGTCTGGAGAACTTTGGACTCTCCCATGCTCCCAACAGCGCGGTGCAGCCTTTGGAGGAGTGCTGATTCCCTTACTGGGGCGGCCCGCTGCGCCGCACTCACCTCTCCAGACTACGTGGTCCCTCAGTCAGAGGCTCAATGTGGCGGGAGACACCCTGCTTTGCCCAGGAGTTCCTGGCTTTCCTGTTTGAAGCCCGTGTCTCCTCTGCTGTCAGCAAGAGACATGCACACACACACACACAGAGACACCTGTGCTCTGGGCAAGACACACACACACACAGGCACTTAACTCTTCCTCCTCCAGGTGCAGGGCACTTGGGACAGCAGCTGGTTTGCAAAGTGGGAGGCCCGGGGAATGGGTGGCATGTAGCTCCCTGCCTGCCCCATTTTAGCAAACCAAGGAGCACCGATCCCTTCATTGGGGCAGCGCGGCATGGCGCTCACCTGTCCAGACTGCGCGGTCCCTCAGCCAAAGTCAAAGGCAAAGTCAGGCTCAGTGTGGCGGGAGGCGCCCCCCTCTGCCCGGGAGCGTCTGGCTTTCCTGTTCAAAGCCGCGAGACGCGCACACACACACCCCTACCTCTCTCTCTGCTCTTGGTGAGACACACACATACACCCCTCTGCTCTCTGCGAGACACACACACACCTGCAGACAGGTAAGCAGGAAGGGAGGGAATAAGTACCAGTATGGTAATAAACAGATTACCATTAGCACACACTACACACAACTAACAAACACTAGTGGTACACACACACTACACACAGCCAACCTACAACATACAAAAGAGGTGCTTTTTCTTTCATATTACATATTTACCTTATAAGTGGCATAAATATTAATAAACAAAAAGTTCAGAGCTCCCTTTATTTTGCTTCAAAGTCATTTATTTTAAATTTAAGGTTTTTTTATTCAAACTTACTTCTTAAAATTAAGGTGCATGTTATATGCCTGTGCGTGTTATATGCCAGTAAATACAGTAACGTTACTAGATTAAAAATCAGCAGAAGCCAAATCAAGTAGTTCTTGATAATAGCACTGTTAATATTTCAAGGTTGCTTCCAGATGACATTAACTGAGGCCATCACTGCAAAGCCATTTTTTTCAAGTGTCAACAAATTCACAATGTTCAGCTATTTGGAAATGACCATTTTTTCCCAGCTTGTACATTTCTGTCAGAATATGCCAATTCTGGAGTAACAAATGCTTACACACTAGTATCTACAAGATGGAAAGGAAAGGAAAGGAAAGGAAAGGAAAGGAAAGGAAAGGAAAGGAAAGGAAAGGAAAGGAAAGGAAAGGAAAGGAAAACCTGCACCTCTCCATTCCTGGCCCTTCTGAACTCTCTCTCGTTTAGTTCCTGTATGGGAAATGCAGCAACAATTAGTACAGTAGAATCATTGGATCCCTTGAGCTGGAAAAGAACATTTGGGCCACAGAGTCCAAACCATTGCTTAACGCAGAAATCCAAATTTTGGGATGCACATTTATTTATATGCAGATAGTTAAGACAATCAGGTTGTTCTTCCGTTGTCAGAAACTTTAGCTCAAAGATGAGGAACCTGCAGTCTGTGGGACTATATTGCCTGTCTGCCTTCTCCCATTTGGCTCAGTGAAGCTAAGTAGCTTTTTGTTGTTGTTCTGATTCCTCTTATATGTGGTTCTGAGTACTGCCAAAGTATTGGAAAATATATAAGACTATTTTTTCCTCTCAGAGATTTTCCTTGCCTTTTTATGTAGCCAATCCTTTATGTAATTCAATAGCCAATTGAGCTTTTGTTCACTTAATATATTTTTAAAAGGGCAAGAAGAAATGGATTTGAAGTCATCTGCCAGGGATGGTGGGGGTGGGTGCGGGAGGAGGAGGTATTATTATTTCATCACTTTTAAAAATGCTTTGAAATTTTGTGAAATTTCTCTTTCTCAAAGAAGTTAAATAACCTATTTAATCTTTTCTTTTTATCTGGCAGCCTAAGTGATGGAATTTTTAACTGAACAGTTATAATCCAAAGAACAGGAATTTATGATCACCTCTCCTACCTTCCAACCATGAAGACAATGAAAAATATATAACCTTCTGTGCCTTTCCTTCCCAGTTGAGTCAACCAGTATTAACAATGAGCATTTCTGAGGATATTCTTAACTGTAGTATTAATTACGAACTAGATAAAAAATTGTTTCCTACTCTCTACAGCATTCTGATTATTATCGGCATTCCTGCTAATCTACTATCACTTTATATTTCTTGCTGTCAGATCCAGAAAAAAAATGAGCTGGGTGTCTATCTCTTCTGTTTATCATTAGCTGACCTATTATACGTTATGACCCTACCATTATGGATTTACTATGCTCAGAACAGGGATAACTGGATATTTTCTGAAGAGCTTTGCAAGTTATCTGCCTTTCTCCAATATCTAAATTATTACAGCAGCTCAGGATTTCTTACCTGCATCTCCGTGGACAGATACTTAGCCATAGCTCATCCTTTGAGGTTCCACTGTTTGCGAACAAGAAGATTTGCCCTGTTGATGTCCTTTTTAGTTTGGGCTTTTGAAATAATGTCAAACTCTGAGATTTTATGGGAAAATAACTTGCGCTCTCTATCTCTGAGGGTTGCAAATGCAAGCAACCATACTTGGTGTTATGACACATATCCTCAACAAGCATGGCAAGCTAAGTTCAATTTTTACCGCATCTGTGTGGGATATGCATTCCCGTTAGCTGTCATGGTCTTCTGCTACCTCAAAATTTATCAAGCTGTGAAGCACAATCAAGCAACTCAAGACAGCGACAAGAAGAAAATCAAGCATTTATTATTAGGCATCATCATAACCTTTTTTGTTTGTTTTACTCCATATCATGTTGTCCTGCTTCTGCGCAGTATCTTTGAGCGAAGCTGCTTTTATGCCCAGAATCTATTTATACCTTATAGAATTACAACAGCCTTGACAAGCATAAATTGTATAGCTGACCCAATTCTTTACTGCTTTGTGAATGAAACTGGAAGAGCAGATATCTGGAACATATTCAAATGTGGCTTTTTCATGAGCCAGACAGAAGCACAGAAGTCCAGTCCTTCACAAAACAAGACCATAAAGGTTTCAGAATCTTCAGAATTCATATAATCCAGGAGTAGGTAGCCTGTAGTCTTCCAAAAGTTGCTGAACCATGCTGGGAGTTGTAATTCACCAACATCTGGAGTGTCACGGGGTTTCTATCTTTGGTATATCTTTAATGCTGCACTCTGCCAAAATAAAATGCAAGAATAGTCTTAATGACATCTAACCAAGAGCCAGATCCATCTGCAGATCAACACAGGGCTACTTATGGGGATTAGCAGCACATCTTTAAATTATCAAGTTCTCCTGCAATTTTTTCTGTTTATCTCAGGAAGAAGGAATCTGGATCATTAATTGCCAAGCATCAGAAGAAAGCCCCATTCTATCACCCATTGTGGCTTTCTTTAAAAACCATAGCATATAGTATGAACCAGCCTATATCTTTGTGATGGACTTATGACTTGCATATTCTGTGTTGTAAAACTAAAGTATTTGGCTCTCATTAAGGCTGTTTTATATCTCATGCTATATCATTGTGTAAAAAAAAATGGAATTAAATTGAAAGATACTACAATTTTCAACTATTCTGAGGCATAATCAGCTTTTCCCAACTAGGGGACCTCCAGACATTCTGGATTTCAGCATTCCATGTGCTTTGAAGTTAAACTCTCTTCATTTCAATATTTGAATATTCTTTAAAAGAATGCCTTGTCCAGCATGTAGATCTCAATATGCAAAATAGCGATGAGCAATGCCTCCCCTCTCTAAGGCATGCTGGTAATGTCACTGAAGGATCAGTTCCTGGATTCCAGCTTTTTAAGGAGCCTTTGCACATACATTCAAAGGCTTTGTGCTGCAGACAACCGTGCTGTACCCAAGGAGACTAGCTCTACAGTGATATCATCAGTGTGACTTGAAGAAGAGAGGGACTACTCTCTGCTCCTTGCATTTTGAGATCTACACATGTGAGATCTACAGACAGCTAATGGAAGGATCTGAAATGTCTCCCAAAACAGGTACTTACATTACAAAAAGCCTCCTTTTTCAATGCATTCTCTTACCATAGTTAATTTAGATGATCAAAGAAACTATAATCAGCATATTAAGAACGCATCAAGGTGTCCATACTATACTGGGATTAAGAGCTGGTATCACTGGTTATCCACCTAGCCCACTGCTGACCCCTGGGCTTCTTGAACCCGCCCCCCCTCCTCTTCCTTATCCCTGTTACTGCCTGTTCACCAGCTCTTGCTAAGCATTTCAGTGGGAGCACTAGTCTTCATTGTAGTAGTCAACTTGGCAAACAAAGGACATTGGCAGTAACAAGGAGAAGGAAGTGGATTATCTACTTGGTGAATGTAAAAGAATTCCTAACATAAATTCTTCTGGGATTGGCATTTAGTGGTTTCCTCCCAGAGAAATCCATGGCAGGTTGAATTGGAGCCATAAGAAAGGCCTGGTTACTGAGCGTTTTAATTTTCGCAAAGTAAATCTTCTGGGAACTTCCAATTCTCTTGACCCTTTAAAAAGCTCAGCATGTTTACAACGGTACTAGGCTCTTCTGCGGCCCTCTTCAGTCTAACTATATGACTGCCTGTCACATGGTCATTCTAGCAAGCACCAGAGAAAGCTAAGTACCTCTCTGCAAAAAGCTGCACCCTGTGTTTTTTAATAATTAATTTTTATTTATTTAAATTGAAATAAAATTGGAAGAAATCCCTCAGCTGCCTTGTACATCTAGAAAGAAGTCCAATTTCCATTTTCCCACAATCTGGTTAATATTTGAGGGGAACCAAAAAG